CTCGAGTCTGAAAGATTATTATGCTGGTATCCGAGCAGAATGGGCGTTCAGGGTAACGGAGCAAGAAGGATTGTTTAATGATCTACATAACTTTGGGGCACTGGTACCTCATCGTCGTTCATTGACCATGGCTAGACGAAATATGAGTGACTATGAAAAAGCAGTTAGCAGAATTAAGAAGGAGAACAACAGAATGTTGATGCGGAGATGTCGACATTTCATGCTTCAGCTAGCCACCGAAATGGCAGAAGCAAGCAACAGAGATTTGACAGTGATTGAGCGAAATAATGTCTTAAACAATGAAAAATATCTCTCTGACTACTACATATCAGATGAGGAATGAGAAATCAAACACCGTTCTCTTTCATATATGTTTATATGTTGTGTCGTATCTTCGTTACTAGAGTGTAAGGCAATGTTGTTGTTCATCTAACGTACGGATGTATTTCAAGTATTTGTTTTATGAACCTGAAGTTTATGAAATAACTACATTTATAACTACACATTTATTAGTTCATGACTTTCTTTATTGAATTGCAATGAGTTAATGAATGTTCTGGATTAATGAACGTATGTTGAATTATGTGAATACTTAAAACACATAAAACAACAGGTAGGTCGGTGAATAGCTTCCCTTAACTGGGGCTCGTCAAATAGGGATCCTCTACGTAAAGAATTTCAATCTCCATCAGGAAAAAAGAAAGAGTCACCTTCCAATTCCTGGAAGTCCAGTAAAAATGATGACTCTGGTAAGGAATGGGGGGTTGACAGAAAACTAAACTTCGGGGGCTGGACAAACAAGCTCAAAGGCAAGTGGTTGGTCCAGTTGGGGGACTAATCAAGTTCAGACAAACGAACTACCACCTTCAATAACACATAAAACAGAACAGGTAACTCGGTGAAAAGCTTCCCTTAACTGGGGCTCGTCAAATAGGGATCCTCTACGTAAAGAATTTCAATCTCCATCAGGAAAGAATAAAGAGTCACCTTCCAATTCCTGTAAGTCCAGTACAAATGATGACTCTAGTAAGGAATGGGGGGTTGACGGAAAACTAAACTTTGGGGGCTGGACAAGTAGGATCAAAGCCAAGTGGTTGGTCCAGTTAGGGGACTAAGTTTAGAACCCAATTGGTTTTACTTGATTTGCTTGTGAAAATCACTATTTACAATTAATTATACCCAAACAGATTGTTTTATGCACCTTTTTAAAGAAATTGACGATTCTCTTAGTATAGAATAATAATCAATGCAAGGCCAAAAATGTAAGAAACTAGACTTGTAACCAGTTCTAATGACGCTGATTTGTTATTTTTCGGATTTATACCCAAAGAGAACAATACTTCCGAAATTACTATGTAACACCAGTTTTCTGGACAGATTTGAATGCATTAGTTTTCTGGACAGATTTGAATGCACCATGATATTCACAAACATTGGTGGCCAAGTACTCCTACCTAACCCACGTTTCACTCATAAGATCCACCATTATTTTAAAGTTGATTTCAACAGCTGAGATTGTAAATGTTTCCCAAAATATTACAAATTGAATATTCAAAAGTTGATTTTAAAATAATTCCAAATGACAACAAATATTCAAATAGTCATACTTTTCAATGAAATACAAATAGTAGGTCGTAACAACGAATGATGCATAGCTAAGTGAAACACAACATTGCCTACATAAGCTTCATTTTTCCACACATTGAGTAGTCAAATCGTGGAGAGACTTGTCAGTATATGCAGATGGATTGTGAAGTCATGTGACCTGGTGCACAGGCTTTGGTTTTCTCGATTTTTTGCTCGAGTTTTTTTATTACAGTGACAACTCATCTCTTATTGATATATGTGGGATTCTCAATTCAGAAAGTCACATGGCAACAGTGAATTCACTGATTTACCTTACAGTCAGCATGCCCTTATTTTGTCCGTATATACAGATGGATTGTCAAGTCATGTGACTTGATGCACAGGCTTTGGTTTTCTCGATTTTTTGCTCGATTTTTTTTTTATAGTGACAACTCATCTCTTATTGATATATGTGGGATTCTCAATTCAGAAAGTCACATGGCAACAGTGAATTCACTGATTTACCCTACATTGAGCATGCCCTTATTTTGTCGGTATATGCAGATGGATTGTCAAGTCACGTGACTTGGTACACAATATTTGCTTTTCTCTGTTTTTTTCATTCTAGTGACAACTCATACCTTGTTCGTATATGTGGGATTGTCATGCAGAGGCATCTTTCTAAAGCCGTTCATAACCAACTATATAAACCACTAAAGGTGAAGACACAACCTTACAACTCATTTCGCCCTACGAAATTATCATTCATTTGTTTTAAAAAATTAGCATGGCTACACGATTCATGGGAGGGAGTGGAAATCGCAGAGGTGGTAGGAACTTGGAAAGGGGTGACAGTTCACGACGAGGAGGGGGAAGGGGAAGTGGCGATGCTGAAGACGATTCATGGGAGGGAGTGGGAATACATGTTTTAGATTATGCTTGTGGTTATCGTGATAGGTTTGGGAAGCGACATTTTTTGATGCCCAAGTATGATCCAGTTCAAGGAGGTTCATGTATGGAGCCATCTGACAATCAAACAGTATATGGTTTATCTGACGCTGCTCATCTCAAGTGGCCCGCACTATTTATAGAGCGGGTACAGCTGGAAACCTTAAGTCGGGAAAATCAACTTAAGGTGCCAAAAGCATGTTCTGTTGAGATCTAAAAGGAAGATCTTGATAATGTTGATCGACTATGTGAAAGACTACAACGTGAGATTTCTCAAATGCGCTGTTGGTTAGCCCGAGATATGCAGCTATACATAGTTAAGAAGGATGCCCAGAAGAACAAAACAGAACCAAATGTTGCGGCTATCAAGGGTATCATGGAGGATCCTGAACTTGTCTCTGACGCTGAGCTTTCGGATTATTCAGACTCTGAGCCACCTGCCGATTTAAGCGCAAATTAGGTGTTAATGTCTACACTTCGGCAATATTAGGTCATGCATTAATATGTAATGTCTGTGTTAGACTAAGTGTTTCCGTAATGAGTTTGTCAGATTGTCTGCCTAATATTTGTCTGTCTAACTGTTATGTTTATGTATTATGTGTTCAGTTCAGGGTGTCCAGGATGTATGTAATGTGTGTTCAGTTCATGGTGTCCAGAATGTATTTTTGTGGGAGACTTATGTCTGTACTACCTATGTAACTGAAAACTGTTACATTTGCAACTTCAGTTGTGTTGTTTTCATGCATGTATGAGTATTTAGTAAATTAGCCACTTCGTATATTATGTATTAAGTTTTATTACAAAAATGTTGACAAAATTTATTTTAGGAGCTCTCGCGGTGGCCTTCGTCTTCTTGGCCTACTCTGCGGTGCTCTTCGCGTCTCACCCTTCGTCGTTGCTCGTCGAACTACACAGTGTGTGGGTGTGCTTCGGACTGTAGAGCATGCATATCACCTTCTAACCCAAAACAAAGACGAAAGAATTTTTTTTTTATAATGAAAACGGGTACAAAACGGTTTTACTAAACTGGTTTTCTGAATTACATTCTCACCTTGTAACCCAAAACAAAGACAAAAGAATAAATATATATATTTAAATGAAAACGGCTTTAGTAAAGCCAAAATAATTTTATGAATAACACCTTCTAACCCAAAACAAAGACAAAAGAAATTTTTTTTTTTACATGAAAACGGCTTTAGTAAAGCCAAAAAAAAAATTATTAATTACATTATCATCTTCTAACCCAAAACAAAGACAAAACAATAAACAAAAAAAATTTACATGAAAACGGCTTTAGTAAAGACAAAAAAAATTTCTAAATTTCACATTCTAAACCAAAACAAAGACAAAAGAAAAAAAATAAATAAATAACACGAGAACGACTTTAGTAAAGCCAAAAAAAATTTATGAATTACATTATCACCAAAACAATGACAACAACAAAAAAAAAAATAAAATAAAATAAAATAAAATTTATATGAACAGTGAAAGCGTGGTTTCAATCCATGCTTACTGTAGTGAACAGTGAAAGCATGAATTTTGTAAATGAACATGATTGGCTTAATAATATCTAAATGAACATGATTTTAAAATTATATATATGAAAAATATTATGTAAAATTAATATATGAAAAGAGGCTTTCCCATAAAAATTTAAATGATATATAAATTGGCTTAATTCCCAAATGCTTGGTAATTAGTAAAAAATATTATGTAAAATTAATATATAAAGAAGAGGCTTTTCTCATATTATGTAACACAAATTAATATATGAAAAGAAGAGGTTTTTCCCATATTATGTAAAATTTCTGAATTACACCTTCTAAACCAAAACAAAGACAAAAGAAAAAAAAAAAATTTAACATGAGAACGGCTTTAGTAAAGCCAAATTTTTTTTATGAATTACATTATCACCAAAACAATGAGAATAGGAAAAAAAACAAAATATAAAAAAAAATTAAAAAAAGAATAAATGAACAGTGAAAGCGTGGTTTCAATCCACGCTTACTGTAGTGAACAGTGAAAGCGTGGTTACAATCCACGCTTCTTTAGCTGAACAGTGAAAGCGTGATTCACAATTACGTTTTCTTCAGAAAAAAAGAAATTATATGCACAGTGAAAGCGTGGTTTCTTCAGAAAATGAATTAAACGAGATGCACAGTGAAAACGTGGTTTGGAACCACGCTTTCTTCAGAAAACGAATTAAATGAGATGCACAGCGAAAGCGTGGTTTGGAACCACGCTTTCTTCACAAAAAAATTTTATGTTAAAAGCGTGATTTGCAACCACGCTTTCTTAATTAAAAGCGTGGTTTGCAATAGCGCTTTCACTATTCACCACATTTTGGGCTCCAAATAGTGAAAGCGCGATTTGTAATAGCGCTTTAGCCTAATTTGAGAATTCCGTTCAAACTAAGCCTAGTTTGGGAATTAAGATACAAAATAGGCTTAATATGGGAAAAGCCTCTCAGTTGAGAGTTTCTGCAGCTTCGTTTGAGTAGTGATGGCCACACTACAACAAAATACACCTTTGGCGACTAATTTAGCGACTAAAAAAAATTTAGGCGCCAAAAGTTATGGAATTGGCAACTAAATGTTTTTTTAGTCGGCAAAAGTATAACATTTAGCTACTACTTTTTTTAGTAGGGGTATATTGGTTATTAGCAACTAAAAAAAAATTTAGTCGCTAAAAATTGCCATGATTGGCAACAAAAAAGAATTTTCGTCACCGTATATTAAGTTTTGGCTATTAAAACCAGTTAGTCGCCGAATGGAAAATAATTTTTTTTTTTTTACTTTTGGCGACTAAAATTTTGGTCGCCAAAAGTTTATTTTCAGCGACTAAAAGAATCTTAGTCACCATAGGTTGAGTTTTGGCTACTAAAATATTTAGTCGCCGTAGGTTAAGTTTTGGCGACCAACATTTTAGTCGCCAAAGCTGCCAAAATTTTAGTAGGAAAATGAAAACCTATTCGCGCCCTCCCAGGTATTCTCCTCTGTTTAGGAATACAAAGCACTATCTCTCTCTCTCTCTCTCTCACACACACACACACAATCACCACCAAATCTCACCTCACCTCACCTCACCTCAGGCGCTTACCACCGGGAAGCATTCGACGTTGCACATTGCCACCGTCACAAATCGCCACCGTTGCAAATCACCACCGCCACTGCCGCAATACCAGGTTATATCTCGCTCTTTCTCTCAGTCTCACGCTCTCTCTCGTTCTCGCTCTCGAGCTTGCCGTATCCCCAAATCGTATAAAACTTGCCCTAGATCCATAAGTGGCTTGCTATGCTAGTGTTGTTGCTCTTTATGAAATTTGTTAACCCTTTTTTTTGTTAACTAATATACTGAAGTGCCTCTGGGAAAGAGGTGGCAGTCCAAATCGGGTTCAATTTATCACGTAATTAAGAGTGATTGCGTAATTAGGTACAAACTGTATAAGTGAGAGGCATACTACATTAGGCAAAATAATTTTGTTATGAAATTAATTTTGTAGAGTGTTTAAGCTTTTGAAATAATCACATTGGAAATTTGGTTATAAGTAATTCTTTATGAGAAACAAAAATAAAACCTTCTGGGCAAAGAAGAAGATATCAACCACAAAACAGGCACATATGTCACATTTTATGAAACCCACTTGACAGGTTGACCTCTAATTGAATAGCAATGTGCAAAATCACCAAGAATCATACACATAGGGTTCAAAAATTAACCAAATAATAAATTTTTTTAAGAAATGGATATGCATATGAACACCTCTTAATTGGGGTACAAATTCAACAATTTAGTTCCCTATGCATCTCCAAATTTTCCCCAAAAAAGCATTGATACATAAATGATTGCAAAGGAATCAAACTACAAAATTCCATTGCTGGTAAATAGTTTGTGATGCAGCACACAATATTTGAAGACCATCGAGAATTTCGATAAAAAGAGAGACCTTTATATGGGCTAACAGAAATTGGAATCACACATTATAGTATGAGAAGAAGTAACTCACAGAACTCCTTCAACATGCAAGGAATCTACACTGCATAACCAGTATCCTGCTGTAGATAAGAATTTTTTTATGTGTGTAACTCAAATTTTTTTTTTTATGAGTAAACAAAACTCTCCTATAAGGCCATACACTCCATATGTATTAATTGCAATTGCACAAAACTCTCATATTAATTTTTATTTTTATTTTTTTATGACACGAACAGCTTCCCCATGCCAAATATGACTTGTGACAACTGACGGAATGTTATTCGGACCCGTAGGTTGGGATTTAGAGCCGAATACGCTCAAAACTTAGTTGAAAAAAGGTGTTTCGGAGACGAACATTCAAAACAGCCCCTGAATCGCCATATGGCCAACACAGGCAGCTTCCCCATGCCAAATAAGACGTGTGACAACTGACGGAATGTTATTTGGACCCATAGGTTGGGATTTAGAGCCAAATACGCCCAAAACTTAGTCGACAAAGGGCGTTTTGGGGGTGAAAATTCAAAACAGCCCCTGAACCGCCTTGTGGCCGACACGAGCATCTTCCCCATGCCAAATATGACTTGTGACAACTAACGGAATGTTATTCGGACCCGTAAGTTGGGATTTAGAGACGAATACGCCAAAACTTAGTCGAAAAAGGGCCTTTCGGGGGCGAAAATTCAAAACGCCCTTGAACCGCTGCGTGGCCGACACGAACAGCTTTCCCATGCCAAAAATGACTTGTGACAACTGACGGAATGTTATTCGGACTCGTAGGTTGGGATTTAGAGCTAAATACGGCCAAAACTTAGTCGAAAAAGGACGTTTCGGGGACGAAAATTCAAAACAGCCTCCGAACCGCAGTGTGGCCGACACGGGCAGCTTCCCCATGCCAAATAGGACGTGTGACAATTGATGGAATGTTATTCGGACCCATAGGTTGGGATTTAGTGCCAAATACGCCCAAAACTTAGTCGAAAAAGGGCGTTTCGGGGGCGAAAATTCTAAACAGCCCCGGAACCGCCGTGTGGCCGACATGAACAGCTTCCCCATGCCAAATATGACTTGTGACAACTGATGGAATGTTATTCGGACCCGAAGGTTGAGATTTAGAGACGAATATGCCAAAACTTAGTCGAAAAACGGCCTTTCGGGGGCGAAAATTCAAAACAGCCATTGAACCGCCGTGTGGCCGACATGAACACCTTCCCAATGCCAAATAGGACTTGTGACAACTGACAGAATGTTATTCGGACCCGTAGGTTGGGATTTAGAGCCAAATACACCCAAAATTTAGTCGAAAAACGGCGTTCCGGGGAAGAAAATTCAAAGCAGTCCGTGAACCGCCATGTGGCCGAAACGAACAACTTCCCCATGCCAAATATGACTTGTGACAACTGACGGAATGTTATTCGGACCCGTAGGTTGGGATTTAGAGCCGAATACGCCCAAAACTTAGTCAAAAAAGGGCGTTTCGGGGGGCGAAAATTCAAACCAGCCCCCAAACCGCTGTGTGGCCGACACAAACAGCTTCCCCATGCCAAATATGACTTGTGACAACTGACGGAATGTTATTCGGACCCGTAAGTTGGGATTTAGAGCCAAATACGCCCAAAACCTAGTCGAAAAAGGACGTTTCAGGGGCAAAAATTCAAAACAGCCCTTGAACCGACGTGTGGCCAAAATGAACAGCTTCCCCATGCCAAATATGACTTGTGACAACTGACGGAATGTTATTCGGACCCATAGGTTGGGATTTAGAGTCGAATCCGCCCAAAACTTAGTCGAAAAAGGGCATTTCGGGAGTGAAACTTCAAAACAGCCCCCGAACCTCCATTTGACTCTTACGAGCAGCTTCCCCATTACAAATAGGACTTGTGACAACTGACGGAATGTTATTCGGACCCATAGGTTGGGATTTAGAGCCGAATACGTCCAAATCTTAGTCGACAAAGGGCGTTTGGGGGGCGAAAATTCAAAACAGCCCCCTAACCGCCGTGTGGCCAACATGAACAACTTTCCCATGGAAAATATGACTTGATACAAGTGACAAAATGTTATTCGGACCCATATGTTGGGATTTAGAGCTGAGTACGCCCAAAACTTAGTCGAAAAAGGGCGGTTCGGGGGCGAAAATTGAAAACAGCCTCCGAACCGCCATGTGGCCGATACGAACACCTTCCCCATGCCAATAGGGCATGTGACAACTGACGGAATGTTATTCGGACCTGTAGGTTGGGATTTAGAGACAAATACGCCCAAAACTTAGTCGAAAAAGGGCATTTCGGGGGTGAAAATTCAAAACAACCCTTGAACCGCTGTGTGGCCAACACGAACAGCTTCCCCATGCCAAATATGACTTGTGACAACTGACGGAATGTTATTCGGACCCGTAAGTTGGGATTTAGAGCCGAATATACCCAAAACTTAGTCGAAAAAGGGCGTTTCAAGGGCGAAACTTCAAAACAGCCCCCTTGACCCTCCGTCTGACTCTCACGGGCAGCTTCCCCATTACAAATAGGACTTGTGACAACTGACGGAATGTATTGGAGATGTATAGTAATGGAAAATTATGGGAAAAATATTCAGAAACCAATATGAACTCAGTTTACGCCTTGTTTTAAACTTGCTAATTTTTTGAACGTACACACATGTGTTATATTATATTTAAGCTTTCATACAAGTATGAAACATGCTCATGGTGTTTCTGAGGCCATTTGCGTCATGAGAAATCAAGTATTCTTTCTTTGATGAACCATTTATAGGTGTCTCAACATATATTTCTACATATTTCCTTTTATGATTGAAATTTATTTTTGTTTTTATTTTTATCACATGTTCTAATTTCTTTTCTGAAATGGCACTGACATACATTAATAAGCAGCGATGGTTTTATATCCAATCTAATGATTCAAGTGCCTTTTGCAAACAAATAATGAGGAAGTTGGTAAAAAGAATACTTTCTATTTACATTGGGCTTTGATATTGGTTTAGCCACAGAATTTGGATACATGTTGCATACAAATAGAAGATTGTTACATTAGCTTTATGTTACTAATGAAAGATTTAGTAATGATTGTTCTGCATTTAACAATGTTCTTTATAACAAAAGACTTTAGAAAGACTGTACAATGACTGATAATTGATTCATCCTGGAAAGTTGCTTCTCACTTATTTTTATTTGTCACATGTTGCCAAATTCATTCATGAAGTTGGGCATTTTTGGGTCCAATTCTAATGTTTTTTTTGTTTTTTGTAGATGACTTTGTTGCGTGGACTTCCAGAGATATGTTGGTGTATGGAGAAGAAATTGTGCTTTTGTATAGAAGTAATATAATACTTTTGTTGTCTCCGGCTTTTGTGCAGTTAACTATTACTGATACAGAAAACTTTTGGCAGTGAACAGATAATTAGTGGCATGGTAGATAGATCACATTTTGTCGCCGTACAGATATATGATTTTTTGTCGTGGTACATAGATGTACTTTTGGCTTGGTACATACATCACCTTTTGTCGTGATATAGATTACGATGGTAATTTGTACAATGCCAAATGGTCATTTCACATGATATAGTAAATATGTAATTTTTGTATATGGAGGGCTTTACTTTTTGTATGATTCTATATGTTGTATGGAATTATTATTTTTGTTTGGACAATGGTTGGTTTGTATGTATTTGGACAGTTAAAGTAATTTATTTTTTGTATACGGATGCAGATTGTGGAATGATTGATAGTTTATGTATCATTTTATTTATATACGTATTACAGGTTGCATGGAATACAGACAAGTTATGGACACATTATAATATTTGCAATAAAACATAATATCATGTTTTTTTGCCGACTAAACGTTTTGTAGCCAAAAAAAAGAAAAAAAAAAAACAAACAAACAAACATTTGGCGACTAAAAGTTTTGTAGCCAAAAGAAAATTCAAACATTTGACTATTAAATTTTTTGTAGGCAAAAGAAAAACAACCATTTGGCTACTAAAAGTTTTGTAGCCAAAAGAAAATCAAACATTTGGCGACTAAAATATTTCGTAGCTAAAAACAAAAGTTGAAGAATAAAAATACTTTTGGCGACTCAAAATTTAGTAGCCAAAAATGTGGGAGTTTAGGCGACTAAATTTTTAGTAGCCAAAAGAAATAGTATTTCCCGACTAAAATTTTAGTAGCCAAAACACTAGTATTTTCTTTAGGCGACTAAAAAATTTAGTAGCTAAAAATTTTCCCGCGACTAAATCATTGGCTTTTGACAACAAAAAAATTGATCGGCAAAAATGTATTATTTAATTAATTTTCCAATCTATTGGCAACTAAATATTTAGTCGGCAAATGTATACATTTGGCGACTAAATTAAGTTTAGTAGCGAATTAGCTTTCCCGACTACTCTTCGGCTACTAAATTTCCGGCCAAAAAATTTAGTCGCTAAAGGCTATAGGCGACTAAAAATGACTTTTGGTGACTACGAATTTAGTCGCCAAAAGTGAAAATTTTTGTAGTGATATCATTGGCACTGAATATTTGCCAGATCTTGTGGAAAAGGAACAGACTGATACTGCTCATAAGCATGGTAATGTCTTTTATTGAACATACCCTGCATTATGGTTTTGAACAAGGTTTTAAAAAGCGGCCGCAATCGTTACGTAACGCTGTTACGTAACGGTTTTGGCGGTTACCGCCACCCGTTACGGCCGCTTTTGCAGTGTGATTGAGATTCACAGGTGCGTCGGCCGTAGCGGTTGCTGTAGCGATCGTGACGGTGCCGTAACAGCCGTAACGGCCTGTTACGCACCGTTACGTAACGGTTCCAAACTGTTTCTTTCAAAAAAACACAAAAAAAAACTGAAAATGGGAGAAGAGAGATAGAGAGAAGAGGGAAGATAAAGAGAGAAAATAGAGGAGCAAGAGATAGAGAGAGAAAGAAGAGGGAAGATGAAGAACATATTATTGATTTGTTGAAATTATAAGATGTATGCTATTCTATTCAGCTGCTATCACTAAACCATTTTGTTTGTGTGTGTCTATCTATATATTATTTGAAAATAATAATAATAATAATAAGTGTGGTTATTATCTATTTGGTTTGGTTAAAATATGTATATATATATATATATTTAGGCTCTTATTTATTCTTTTACTTTTGTCATTATTTATCTTATATATAATAATTAGTGATTGATTTTTTGTAAAATATAAAGTCATTAATTATTAAAATAAAATGTAAAAAACTCAGTTTATAGTGATTTAAAAATATGAAATATATTTGATCATACTTAAAAATTTATAAAAATTGATCAATATTTATTTTTAACCCAATAAATATGATTATGGAAAAAAAATATGCGTATCGGTAAGTTTTTTTCAAATTGTGCAAAAAATAAAAAAATTCATGGTTCCGGTTACCGCAACCGTTATACTACGGCCTTTACACCCCGCAACCGCAACCGCGTCACCGCCACCGTTACGGCGACCGCAACCGCTTTTCAGAACCTTGGTATTGAATAAACTATAAGCCATTTTGCTTCTCTTTTTAAATTAATATGGTATTTGTTGTCTCAATTTGTTACACTCATTTTCATTTCTATGAAGATGGCGTGTGCAATTTCAAGGTTAGAAATGCAGGCTGTTGTTTTCTAAAGTAAAGAACATAAAATCATTAGAAATAACATTTAGTAATGCAGCAACAGCTTGTTGAGCTTTATATATAGTTTGATTAGTCTAAATCTGAATCAGGATCTTAATGCCCCACCCCAACATTATGATAAAGGTTAGTGGCTTTGTCAGCATTTCAATCTGCTTACGGGTCGGTCAATAGTGGGGTTGAAGAGACTTGCCTAGTGGACCATCGTAGTCAACTAGCCTATGTGGCTAGTCATCATTTTGACCACCCTTTGTCGACCAAGCACTGATGTTGTTGGTCAACCTACAACATTATGCAACTAGATTATCTAATTGAATATTTTCTTTCGGTGGAGCAGCAAACACCTTTTATAGCCTTCCTAGTTTCAACTATTGTCAGGATGGATGTAATTTCCCTGTTGATGTAGCAGCAGGTTGGATGGCTATAATTGACTTACCACGCATTCAGTAACAATAGCTAGGGTGACCATCAGAAATACGGTTTTTCCCCCCCTTTCAAACTATGGTCTATTTTGAACATTGCAAATATGAATTTCAGTGTGACATGAACAATTATCATGATCTTGCGTCGTTGTATTTTTTCTGTGTGCTGGTGAAGATTTCTCCTAATGGTAGGAATTAACCCTCAGCACCACCCCTTCCATTTGGATGCCATTGCTGCTATTAACCTTTGTCTTACAATGGTGCCTGTAATTCATCATTAGCAAATTAAATTATTATTTCCTTGTGCTCCTTGTGTAGTTGAAGGTCATAAAGTACTTTTCCCAAGTTTGTTTGTTATTAATTAAGTGGTTCTCACAAATATCATTGATCAGATGGCGATAAAGATAATCATGAGGATTCAGATCAAAAAAATCACCTACATGGCTTTGATCAAGATGCTGAAACAATGATTAAGAAGGTCAAGCAAGCATTGGCTAATGGAGAAGGACGTCGGGTATGTTTTGGTCCCAATTTGGATGTGAAGATGCTCGAGTTTATGATAGAATTAATAAGCTTAACCATTCTTGCAGGTTTATGGGGTCTTGGATGTCCAAAGAGTTGCTGGGAACTTCCATATCTCAGTTCATGGGTTGAACATTTTTGTTGCACAAATGGTCAGTTTTTCTTTTTTTTACTGTTTTTTAAAGGTTATTTTCTTGTAATGTAATTTCATGTAACAAGTCATCAGTATCTATAAATATGTGAATAATGTGATTCCTGATTAAACCATTGGTTGCTTGGTAAAATTAATAAAAACAAATAAAAAAAAAGTGGAAGAAGCGGGAGGAGAAGAAAAAGAGTGAGAAGTTGATTCTCTTATGCTGTGTTTGGTTAGGGGATTTGGGGAGAGATTTGGAAAAGGGAAATGGAAAAAGTAGGTGAAATGTGAATAAAACATGCCTATATTTCACCTAGTTTCACACACCTTTTCCCTTTCCCTTTCCAAATCCCTCCCCAAATCCCCCAACCAAACACTGCATTAATATTATTTAGACAAATACTTGGAGAAGTACAAAATACTTCTAATTTAGTATAGTTTAGCTACCCCCTCTATTTAAAATAACAGCAAATTGGTCTTCTGTCTTCATAAAAGGTACTCAGCCTGAACTTAAGCTTTCGGTAATAAAATATTGGTCCACTTCAATTTACTAAATTTTGAGATGCTGTGTGAACCTAACTTCCATGCTTATATAAATGCTTTATTCTGATGTATATGGGGAATTCCTGTAACACAGAAGAGAAGTCATGTCCTAGTTTTGGTCCTCTAAAACTGGAGTCTACGAGGCGTTATTCTCATTTTATTACTTTTGGAAGTTCAAGCTTTTATCCTTACACTAAGCACTGATGAGATATGAAATAGAAAAAAGAAAAAAAAAAAACTTGGTGTTCATTTTGATGCCTCATTTCATTTGTTCATTTTTTTTGGAATTTCTGTGGCTTTTACAGTGGAATTTATCATTGAAACATGGAGGCATGCAAAAAACAGGAGTTCTTCATATCCTCTGGTTGTGATCATCTTTAGGTTTCTTTGAAGTGACAAAATTCATAATTTGACATCATTTTTTAGATTGGTGCCATTTTCATAATGGCTCCAGTCAAAATAATTGACTTAATTGGAATGCAATACAGAAAGTTAAATGGCTATTCACTTTCCTTGGGACTTTCAAATATACCTTTTGACTTACACTTCATACCAATTAGTTAACAAGGGGTAACTTCTGTTATTATAAGGAGATTAAATTGTTCAAGTTATTTTTAAGAAAATGCCCAGATAATTATATATTACTCTCCATCTAGTGAGCCAAGACAGCTTTTGTGTTGTTTGCTAGCCTTTTGAATGTCTTCAACTGCTAGTGTGGAGGTTAATTCGTATCCTTCCATTTCAACTGCCTTTTCATTCACTTTAGTTCACTTACCTATTGCTTGTTTTTCTTCTCTCTCTCTTTTTTTTTTTTTTTTTGTCCAACAGATTTTTGAAGGGCCCATTCATGTCAATGTGAGCCACATTATTCGTGATTTATCATTTGGGCCAAAATATCCTGGAATTCACAACCCACTTGATGAGACTTAACGGATTCTATGTGGTTCAAGTGGAACATTCGAATATTACATAAAGGTTTGATTCCTGGTCTTTCTTTGATAAAATTGTTGATTTATCTTCTGGTGTTTCCAATATGCACCTTCTTTAAGATAGCTGGTGCATTTTTTCAGCACATATGTGCTCCAGATCTTGCTGTTCAAGGGGACCCTTGCTTAAATGATCATTGTGTTGTCCTCAGTATTGACTAGCTAAAAGAAAACTAAAACTGGCTATTTTTGCACATGTTATCTTGGAAATATTTTTCTTATGATCATTAGAATTTACTAGCATCACACACTATTGAACAAATTTATGGGACGCCCTTATGGAGAGTGGGTAATGACCATATAAATGTTGTGTTTGGATCATGGATTCATGGAGTGAAAAGATAGGAAAAGAAAATGAATGAAGGCATTCCCTTACCATTTCTTTTCACGCGACAAATCCAAGATCCAAACATAGTCTTAAATGACTCTTGTTCGTAGAATACTCATTGGATGCTTTGGTCTGATAAAGCATACCAAGCACTCAATTGTCAGCCGTTGCAGGCTGAAACCCAAATTTTCTCTATTATTGAACAATAATTTATTGAAACAACATATTCATTTATTGAACAAAAATTTGAACTCTGCTTTATGTATATATATAGTTCATTTAATAGTTGGGTTTATATTTAGGGTTTTAGCATTCTTTTTCTTGCTCTCTGTTGAGAAATTTGTTTGTTTCCATGTAGATTGTTCCGACTGAATACAGATACTTATCAAAAGAAGTTTTACCAACTAATCGATTCTCAGTCACGGAATATTATTCTCCTATGAACGAGTATGATAGGACTTGGCCAGGTTTGTTTGGACACTGGAATTTATTTTGATCCCTCTCTGCTAGCTCTTCTTTCTCTCTTCCAGATCTTTTTTCTGTTCCTTGCTGCTACTATCATCTGTGTTCCAATTACTAACCCCATTGTTATTCTATCCAGCTGTTTACTTTCTGTATGATCTGTCACCAATTACTGTGACCATCAGAGAGGAACGTCGCAGTTTTCTCCACTTCATCACTCGGCTTTGTGCAGTATTGGGCGGTACATTTGCCTTAACAGGTTTGTACTATTCTCTTTACTCTGCTTTTTGGAATTTGGGAAAAAGTTGCACACACTGAAGAATGAGGATCTGGAAAAGGTATCCTATCTGAGATGATTCAATTGAAAGATAACCATCCACTTAATAACAAAATCGATTTTTTTTTCGTAATAATTCTGAAAATTTGCCTCATCATTTAAATTTATTTTGAAATCTAATTTTTTGAAAGGTCTGTACTAAAAAGAAAAAAAACTGTAAAACTGGTTAAAGTGACAAATTATCAAAGGAAACAGAAAACATTGTGGCTGTAAATTTTGCATTTTTTACAACTTCATATTTGAACTCATGCTCCGTTTGTTTGGGCGAAAAACATTTTTTAAAAAGTTTTTCTCATTTTTCTTGTGTTTGGTACAACGGAAAATGAAAGTCAATAGAAAACGTTTTCCATGGTAAATAAAAAAAGGGCCTATTTGCGCCGAAAATGTTCCCCACTTTTAAGGTAGAAAACGTTTTTCAAACTAAAGTCTTAGCAATGTCACCATCACCTCCACCACTTCGATCACTGTTACTGCCACTACCACCACAACTCCACCACCTTCACCTCCGTCCCGCCACCACTACCACTAACACAACCATTAGTTTATTAGTTTCAAAAATGCAACCAAACATAGGAAAATGTTCTCCCGAAAACATTTTCTCGAAAAATTTTTTTTTTTGTAGAAAATGTTTTTCATTAGAAAAAAAAAAAACAAACGGAGGGTCAATGAAAATTCACCTAGAAATTCATCTATGAAAAACTATCTTGGCCATCGCTATAAGTTTTGAGAATCCATCTACTGCAACATAGGAAAATGTTCTCGAAAACATTTTCTCGAAAAAAGTTTTTTTTTGTAGTTTTGAGAATCCATCTACTGCAAAAGTTTTGAGAATCCATCGCTATAAGTTTTGAGAATCCATCTACTGCAAAAGTTTTATGAAACCGATGTTTGAGGTTATGGGCAGGAATCTGCTCACTGTCATTTCTAATTTTCCTAATCACATAAGGTTCACTTTCCATTGATGTTCTCATAATCACTACAAGAAATTTCACTTTTGGCGACTAAATTTTTAGTCGCCAAAAGTCAATTTTTAGTCGCCGAAGGGTTTTAGCGACTAAATTTTTTGGTCACAAAATTAGTAGCCGAAGAGTGGTCGGGAAAGCTAATTGGCGACTAAAAATTTTAGTCGCCAAATGTATTCATTTGCCGACTAAATATTTAGTCGCCAAAAAGTTGGACATTAAATTAAATTAGACCCTTTTCGTCGGCCAAACTTTTAGTCGCCTAAAATCCCAACTTTTTAGCTACTAAAATTTTAGTCGCCGAAAGTCCCCATCTTTGGCTACTAAATGTTTAGTCGGCAAAGAATTCCTCTTTTGGCTACTAAATATTTGGTCGCCTAAAGTTCTATATTTTTTGCTATTAAATTTTTAGTCGGCAAAAGTATGTTTATAATTTAGTTTTTTTGTTTTTAGCTACGAAATATTTTAGTCACCAAATGTTTGATTTTCTTTTGGCTACTAAAATTTTAGTCGCCAAATGTTTTTTTTTTTGCTACTAAACTTTTAGTCGCTAAATGTCTTCTTTTTTTTTTTTTGCCACAAAACTTTTAGTCGCCAAATGTCTTTTTTTTTTGCTACAAAAAACTTTTAGTCGCCAAATGTCTTTTCCCAATTTCTTTTTAGTTACTAATTGTTTAGTCGCCAAAAACATGATATTATGTTTTATTGCGAAATTATAATTTCTCCACAACCTGTCTATGTACAATACAACCTGTAATACGTATAAAAACAAAATGATACATACAATTAATCATTTCACAATCTGCATCCATATACTAAAAATAAATAACATTAAATATCAAAGTTCATACAAATCAACTATTGTCTAAACTAAAATAATAATTCCATACAAAATATGTCATACAAAAATCAAAGCCCTCCGTATACAAAAAAATACTTTTACTATCAAGCGAAATTACCATTTGGCATGGTACAAATTACCATCGTAATATGTACCACAACAAAAGGTGATATATGTACCACGACAAAAGTTTTCTATGGACCATGACAAAATGTCCTATAAGTATGCCGACAAATTTAGTATATATGTACCACGACAGTAGGTGATCTATGTACCACGACAGTCATTATCTGTTGATTGCCAAAAGTTTTCTGTATCAGTAATAATGAACTACACAAAAGTTGAGGACGACAAAAGTATTATATTAGTTCTACACAAAAGTGAAAATTCCTCTCCATACACCAATATGGATTATCCACAAGTCCACGCAACAAAACCATTTACAAAGAAAAACAAAAAATGAAACAGTAGAATTGGTTACAAAATATCAATTCAGTCAGCCACATAGAACATGTTCTAACATGCATTTAAGGTAAACCAATCAAGAAATGTCTTCTTGGAAATAAAAGAAAGTATATATATATATATGTATCATGCAATATTTATTCCAACCAAATGCACAAACAATGTAATATGCAATTTCTTCGTCCTATAAATATATAAAGGCAATTATTAGAATATGTAGATGTTATTTTAATAAAGTTGTTGCTTTTTTAACTAAGTGTTGCAAATTTTTCGACTAAGTGTAAGGCGTATTCGGGGGGCTGTTATGAATTTTCACCCTCGGAAAGCCCTTTTTTGAGTATGTTTAGGGCGTATTCGGCTCTAACTCCCAACCTACGGGTCCGAATTACGTTCCGTCAGATCTCACAAGTCCTATTTGTCATGGCAAAGCTATCCGTGTGAGCCACCCGGTTGTTTGGGAGCTGTTTTGAATTTTCACTCCCGAAACGTCCTTTTTTGACTAAGTTTTAGACGTATTCGGCTCTAACTCTCTACCTATGGGTCCGAATTACATTCCGTCAGTTCTCACAAATCCTATTTGTCATGGAAAAACTATCCGTGTGAGCCACACGGTCGTTCGGGGTTGTTTTGATTTTTCGCCCCCGAAACGCCCTTTTTCGACTAAGTTTTGGACGTATTCGGCTCTAACTCTCTACCTACGGGTCCAAATTACGTTCCGTCAGTTGTCACAAGTCCTATTTGTCATGACGAAGCTATCCGTGTGAGTCACACAGTCGTTTGGGGGCTGTTTTGATTTTTCGCCCCCGAAACGCCCTTTTTCAACTAAGTTTAGGGGGGTATTCGGCTCTAACTCCCAACCTACGGGTCTGAATTACGTTCTGTCAGATCTCACAAGTCTTATTTGTCATGGCGAAGCTATCTGTGTGAGCCACCCGGTCGTTTGGGGACTTTTTTGAATTTTCACCCCCGAAACGCCCTTTTTTGACTAATTTTCACAATCTGAATAAGAGATAAAACTAGATTTAGACAAAATAGAAATATCATACCATACCCATGATCATAACCCTTCTAACTTCTAAGTTTGACTAGTGCCAAATGAAACATTTAAGTAAACCATAAATTGTTGTGCTATGAAGTACCTAAATTCAGTCCTTGGGCCTATTTTCCAGAGGTAAGATCAGAACAAACTTCTTCAGTAAAACAAACTAATCACATTCCCAAACACCCAACTCAAACTCATCTACCTAACCCAATGGACTTCCTTACCTGCTGTAGATTTGCCACAAAGTTATGCACAGAGTAGAACCTGCCCAGGAAGAAAGTCTTCATCCATATTGCCACCTCTGTCTTCATCCAAATTGATCCAAAGAACAGCACAAGGCAGAGCTTTCCATATCTAGCAAGTAGCAGCAACAGCAGTAGCTAGCAACACTCCATTTTCGCAGCAGCAACTAGCAACTAACAGCAGCAGCAACAGTACTCCTTTTCTACAGTAGCAGCACTCCAAAAACGGCAGCAACACTCCTTTTTGCTCATTGTGACCCTTAATAATGTAAAAGATACATAGTATTTCAAAACATTAAAAAAGAAGGCAAACCTTCTTTAGTGCAGTACTTATTTCCTCATCATAGTCCAGTTTTGATGCCAAGTGAAGATCCTTAGCAGCCTCTCCCCATTAACCAAGCATTGCCCATGCCATGCCATGCCATGCAATTCAACTGTTAGACCTATCATAAAACATACATCTTCTTCCATTCAACAAC